GGGGGTGAAGGGTACAGTTGTCTATATTTCAGTGTTTTATTTATTATCAGATGTAGCCATCAGAATCTCAATGCATTATCTTCAAAGTCAAAGTGTCAAAAGCAAAAAAAAACTATGTGAGTGTACACAACCAAGTGCAATAGGTTCCATCAAGTCCAGCTCCATTTACTTCAACTTAATTTTCCTCTGTGGTGCATTTCACTATGCATGTTTATGTAGTTACTGTCTTAATTGTCCTATGAAGTTGTCTAGATGCTTGTCATACACACACATATTGTATATAGTGCAGTATGTTGTATAAATCAAGGACACAAAGACACTTAGAACTGGTGCTTATTTACAGTATTGTTTAAAATAATAGCAGTACAATGTGACTAAGCAGAATAATCCAGGTTTTTAGTATATTTTTTATTGCTACATGGCAAACAAGTTACCAGTAGGTGCAGTAGATTCTCAGAAAGCAAACAAGACCCAGCATTCATGATATGCACGCTCTTAAGGCTGTGCAATTGGGCAATTAGTTGAAAGGGGTGTGTTCAAAAAAATAGCAGTGTCTGCCGTTGACTGTACAAACACAAAACTATGTTGTACAAACGTTTTTGTTTCTAGGATTTAGCAATCCTGTGAATCACTAAACTAATATTTAGTTGTATGACCACAGTTTTTTATAACTGCTTCACATCTGTGTGGCATGGAGTCAACCAACTTGTGGCACCTTTCAGCTGTTATTCCACTCCATGATTCTTTAACAACATTCCACAATTCATTTACATTTCTTGGTTTTGCTTCAGAAACAGCATTTTTGATATCACCCCACAAGTTCTCGATTGGATTAAGGTCCGGGGATTGGGCTGGCCACTCCATAACATTAATTTTGTTGGTTTGGAACCAAGACTTTGCTCGTTTACTAGTGTGTTTGGGGTCATTGTCTTGTTGAAACAACCATTTCAAGGGCATGTCCTCTTCAGCATAAGGCAACATGACCTCTTCAAGTATTTTGACATATGCAAACTGATCCATGATCCCTGGTATGCGATAAATAGGCCCAACACCATAGTAGGAGAAACATGCCCATATCATGATGCTTGCACCACCATGCTTCACTGTCTTCACTGTGTACTGTGGCTTGAATTCAGAGTTTGGGGGTCGTCTCACAAACTGTCTGTGGCCCTTGGACCCAAAAAGAACAATTTTACTCTCATCAGTCCACAAAATGTTCCTCCATTTCTCTTTAGGCCAGTTGATGTGTTCTTTGGCAAATTGTAACCTCTTCTGCACGTGCCTTTTTTTTAACAGAGGGACTTTGCGGGGGATTCTTGAAAATAGATTAGCTTCACACAGACGTCTTCTAACTGTCACAGTACTTACAGGTAACTCCAGACTGTCTTTGATCATCCTGGAGCTGATCATTGGCTGGGCCTTTGCCATTCTGGTTATTCTTCGATCCCTTTTGATGGTTGTTTTCCGTTTTCTTCCACGTCTCTCTGGTTTTGCTCTCCATTTTCAGGCATTGGAGATCATTTTAGCTGAACAGCCTATAATTTTTTGCACCTCTTTATAGGTTTTCCCCTCTCCAATCAACTTTTTAATCAAAGTACGCTGTTCTTCTGAACAATGTCTTGAACGACGCATTTTCCTCAGGCTTTCAAATGCATGTTCAACAAGTGCTGGCTTCATCCTTAAATAGGGGCCACCTGATTCACACCTGTTATTTCACAAAATTGATGACCTCACTGATTGAATGCCACTGCTATTTTTTTGAACACACCCCTTTCAACTAATTGCCCAATTTCACAGCCTTAAGAGCGTGCATATCATGAATGCTGGGTCTTGTTTGCTTTCTGAGAATCTACTGCACCTACTGGTAACTTGTTTGCCATGTAGCAATAAAAAATATACTAAAAACCTGGATTATTCTGGTTAGTCACATTGTACTGCTATTATTTTGAACAATACTGTATATATACATACACACACACACACACAGTATGTGTGTGGCGCAGCAGGAGGTAAATATATCCACAAAATCAGGTGCAGTCAAAAAATTCAGGTTTTACAGTGACACCAGTTAATGTCTTTATATATAAAAAAAGCTTTATTGAAAATATAAGTAAACAACCAAGGCAATATAACATTTTGCCAATATGGTGGGGGCACCGGTGGATGTCAGGCAAACTCACATGAACGCACAACGGCATTGAGATTATGCCCAGTCAAGGAACTACTTAAACTATCACATAATACTTTGTTAGAGAAAAAGTCTAGAGAGCGAGAGTTTGCAAGATGTGTATAAACCGAGTCATTTCTGCATAGAAATACTAGAACATACATAAAATTTTGAGCATTAGCTCATGTCTAAGATGATAATTCACCACTGTAACATTGTAGATAAGTCGAAAAACTATTAAAAAAAGCATACCATGGGCTCTTTAAACATTTAGGTTGTGGATTAGTGGTTGTACTTAATCTTCATAGTATATTTCCTGAGTAACGTGGTTTACGTTAGGAACAGTGGTTAGAAAATGTGTACTTCAAGCAACTTAATGCATTCAGTCGGTCCACTGTTGTGGGCATGCTCTGTGGGTCTGAAATATGCCACACGTGTCTTCAACGGGTGTGCTCCAAAACCCAACCAGCATGGTGTCGTTTGTGTCGATTGGGCGTACATTCTTTCACTTTGACACTACTAAACAGGTGGCCTGCCGGGATAGTCACGTGGAACACAGCTTCTATGTCAGCATCAGTGAATCTGCGATCGACCTCAGGGTTTGTTGAAGAAAGCCGTGAACGCGCATTCATCTGAATTAGTTAGACACGGCTTGACCTAGCTGGAACTCCTCAGCCTGGTTTAACCCTCGTGAAATGCATTAAGCCAGGATGCACTTAATAGACTGTCAAGCCTCGGTATCTTAGATTTCTTAATTCTACTTTTGTGCAATACCCTCCTGAGCAGAGGCCCCAGAACCCAGATAGACTGAAGAGGCAAGTGTGGGTGTACATGGACCTTATTTCTCACTGTCTAACAGTCAAGTCTTTGGCTAAGCTGTAAATGCATCCTTGAATAATGTTTCTTTAAGATGTATTTGATCTAATTAGCAGTAGTAGTCATCTACATGTTCATGTAAATACTTTTTGCCACTGATATAATGTAATGTAACACTGCTCCAATCTATTGTACATCCAGTTTATTGAAGCTTTTCACTTGAAATCTGGTAATTCTTTCCTTGGTTATTGTAAATGACAGCTATTGAGCATAACAGGCAAAGAGACAAACCCCATACAGAAACCTGCACACATCACAATACCAGCCATTATTTCAAAGATTATCTTTGAAAGAATGCCACAGCTCAAAAAAGGAGACAAAATTAAAACATACCCTCAGAATACAAAGAAAACCACTCCATTGTTCCTTTGTCCATACGAGGCCTCTGACAAACACACATCACATCAGGAAGCAGCTAATTTATTTTCACAACTCTCTGGACACACTTTGCAGTTCATGTTCACACTTTAACATTTAGTATCCATTCGGCAGAACACAGGATCAATTTCACCTGATTTGCCCTCCTGGGCACCCGTGCCTTACATTACACATGCTGATTGGCCAGCCAAACCCACCAATCAGGGCCCTGGTTACAGTCACCCAAGATTGCAGCCCATTGTTGGGCCACAAAAATTAATAAAGGCAATAAATCATTTTTAAACTAGGTGTTCATCTGAAATTTTTTTAAAAGAACATATAATATTTAATTAATATGCTTTGCAGTCAGAATGCCATGGAGGAAAAATTCATTGTACAAGCTGGCACCCTGGGAGAGGCTCACCACTACATGAGCTGATGTCGTTCACTGAGTGTTGTGTCTTTAGTATCAACCACCCCTACATGCTTCCTCACAGTAGTCCCCAAGTTACACAATCTATGCAAAATAAAGGGCTCTTGCATTACAATTCTGATTGGGTCATTCTTTTTCTAACAAAATATGAAAATCTATAGGAAAAAAATATCATTCAATAAAAGGTGGAGATATCAAAAAAGAAAACTGTTGGCTCTCCATCATCGTTCAGCTGGAAGGCCAGATTCCAGCTAGAGGAAATTGCACTTGAGCAGCTGAATGGGTCTATGAGGGTGTCACCACACAGCAGCAGGTAAGAGACTCATTTCTTCCGGGCGTGCTTGTATTTGTCCACATAGGCCTTCACCAGGTTTGCCACCTTACTGGAGTCCACCTCACCGCTCTTGCTGTGACACACCTGAGCAAAAAACACAGCTAAAGTTGGTGCATTTCACCCTTTTGTCAGAAATACTACAAATATGAAGGATGAGCTGGGGAAAATAGATATTATATTTTTTGCAGGCTCAAATATGACCCATTCCTTTTCCAAATCCAAAGGAGCAGAAGTCTAAGGAATTAGTTTAAGATGTGCTCTAAATAAGCTGTTGTAATTAACACATCCCACTGAGTAGCTTACTATCTACACTAGAAACTGTAGACACTACAAAATTTCAGTTTAGGCAAACATTTTCCTTATACTTTATTACATACGTAACTGTACAATCAGCTCTATGCTAGAACAGAAGAACAATGTTGCTGACTTGGATCAAATGTTTTCCTGGCTCACATAGCTTTAGCCATTTTCTCTTAAGCTATATAACTGATCAAAAAAATAATCAACATAAGAAAGCCTTAATCATTTCGCCTTTTGGCCTGTGTATAGATTTTAGGTACTTGTCTGTGCTTAGACAAGTAGCTTTTCTTGAATGACAGGCAGCACATATTGACAGAAGTGATATTAATAGAAGCAGTTATCAGGATAGAGATGTGCTGATCTAGGGAGCTTATATGATAAGACTGCTCTTTTTTCTGGAGAACCAACTTGTGTGGCGGACTTGGCAAAAAATAAACAACAGGCATTATCATATGCTGCCAATTACATTATCATGAAAAGCAAACTGCTCGCATCCTTTAGAAAATAAACACACCACAAAGTAGACTGGGCGACACACTGCTTTTCATAGCTAGTTAGCTCAGTTAAAACAACCACATTTCAAGTAAAAGCAACCAAAACCAATTTGGATCAGCACAGCCCTGCATCAAGTGCAGATGTGTCTGAGACTTCGCCCAGGTGGAGTGTGGACCTTGTTTTTTTCCCTTCAAAAATGTCACTGAACTGTAATCAGTTTGTAGCTATGAACATTGTAGCTATGAACAAGTCAGCTGAAAACTGTGTTCTCAACTAACTCAGGGGTCTACTGTTATCTTAAACAGAAAGCTAGCTATAGCTGATAAAACCAACCATCAACTACTCACTTGATAGTCATTGGCTCAAAATAAGAAGCTGTCATTGTCTAAAACCAGGGGCCCAGTGCTCCAAAAGTGAAATGGTGTGTTTACCTTTTCTACTGCTTTGCGAACAATCTCCTTGTACTCCTCCTTGGAGATTTCCTTCTTTTGGTAATAGGGTTTGATGGCTGTCTTTACTTCATTTATAGCTTTCTCTTGGATCTGCTGTTTCTAGAAGGAAGAGGAAATTAGACTGCTTAAATTCAAACTCAAGCAACTTTACGGTCCAACAAGAATAAGGAAACTGCAATCAAAAAAACAAACAAACCAACCTGAGAAACAGAGCACTTTGAACGTTTTGATGGATTAAAAAGTAAACAGGTGGCAAGATACCTTTTCCTTTTTGGAGCTGTCAGCTTGAGCCTTGTTATGGCCAGGCTGAGTTGTAGAGGATGGGAGCACCTGACTGGGTGCTGGCTGGCCCTGGGTCACTGTGGCAACACCACCTTTGGTAGGTGTGGGAAGCAGGGCCGGTTTTCCAAAACCCACCATGTTACTCACCATCTAGGCCAAAGCAGAGGATGAGTAAGTTTTGTGGGATGCCTGCTTGTGAAGACCACTTGTAACTACTTCTAATTGATAAAACAGATCTTGGCAGTAGTCATGTCTATGTCCCAGTTCACCATACCTGAGTCATGTGGCCATCAGGCTGAGCTGCTACAGTCTGGCTGCCTTGCTGCATGGGTGGAGGCGGAGGAGGGGGCGGTGGAAGGCTCTGAGCATCGACAGCAGGCACCTGAAGCAGTGGCACAGCAGGGTGGAGGTGCACGGGAACCTGAGGAGGCATGGTGTATGGGACTGCAGGGTGTAAGCTGACCGGCAGGGTTCCCCTCGGGCCCTGCATGGGGTAGTGCAGGGGAAGAACATTCAGCTGAGGAGGATGAGGGGGAATCATGTTCATCACAGGCACCGGAGCGTTACCTGGGACAACCTGTGGAGGAGGTTCACTTTTAGGGGGATCTGGAGAAGAAAGAACAAGATTTAAACATGTCAGGAGAATTTGTATGAAGGTTCAAACTGTCAAATTGATTTAAAGTAGTATCTATATAGGTATGGCTATATTAAATTTAATCATAAATGATGAAAATATGCATGAGATACTTCACAAAAGGTGTTTACACAACACATACAGAATCACACAAGTAGTCTTATCAAAAATAGAAGCAGTGCAAGTTAAAAAAGAATTTCTAAGGAATAAATTATCAACTTCAAAGAAAATCACAGTTTCCTCTAAATTCTAATGATATGCAGATGCCTAGAGGTAATTTGTGGTTTGTTTTGTACCTGTTCACAGTTAAGCTACAGCACTAAAATTATCCCCCTCTCCCAGCATCAAAGAGAACATTAATCCCAAACACCATGACTACTGCATGCACTTTAGAGGTGAATTTGGCTGATTCATTGCATGCTTTTTTAACATCTCCCTTCTCTCAAGCAGAAACAGCAGTATTTTCACAGCGGTGATAGCTAAACAAAGAGGCCTGGTTTTCACTGTTTAAAAAAAGACCAAAAAAGACTGACCTACTGCTGCTGCTGGCTGCTGCTCCTCCTCTAGTCGGGTCCAGCCTCCAGGTCCTCCCCTCTCCCTTTTCAAGTAATAATCCTGCACATCTGCAGGGAGTGTCCTCCTGACAGCCCAGCTGGATGCTGATGACCATCCCGACCGGTCAAGCATAGAGTCCCCTGGCTCTGCATCTTTCTTCCGGACACTGAAGCGGCTATATGCGTCATTCCCTGAATTGTTGCCTGTACCTGAGAAGTTGTTTCTGGGCTGCCAGCGGTCGTCCGTTGAGTCCTCCTGCTGGATGTAGAAGCTACAGTTGCCCCTGCCCCGCCCCGTACCCCGGCCATGTTCAAACCCGCCACGGGCCCCCCGTCCCTGTGGTTCTCTCCGGTTCCCACCACTGTTGCGGTGCTCTTCCCAGCGTGAGCTGCCATTGAAATCCTGGTTCCTGCCCTCATCTTCACCACGAGTCTTTTCTGTAACCCAGTCAGGATTATCCGACCACCCTTGGCAATCAGGGGAACTTTCTGTAGGCACACCATTCTCAAAGCGACTAGTGCCTCTATAATACCTCCATCCCTCACCACCAAATCCGCTACCCTGCCCAGACCTCCACCCACCCTTATGCTCCTTCCTCTGGGGAGATTGCTCTCTGGAACCAGGCCGCCCAGGACTGGGCCCTCGTCTGTAGGACTTTGTCCTGGTTCGAGACCTAGACCGAGAGCGCGACCTGGACCTAGAGCGACTCCTGGATTGCCGTCTCCTCCTCTCTCGGCTACGGCCCTTCCTAGAATACTCTCTGTCACCATCCCGGTGCCTGTCCCTTTCTCTGCTGCGAGAAGAGCAACTTGAGGGCGGGCTGCCATCACGTTCTCTAGATTGTGAGTGCGAGTGCCTGGATGAATCTTGCTTGGAGTCCCTCTTAGGTGACCAGGTGGAGGTTGGGGAGTGGAAGCGAGAGCGTCGCTGCCTGCCGTTCTTCCTCTCTTGGCTTTTTTCTCTCTCCTGTTGGCCCTTGCAGCTCTTGGTGACTTGGTTTTCAGAAGCATGACGTTCTGTGGCAGCTGGGTTAACACTATCCTTTGGTAGCTCCAAAATTTGATTGTTACCATGCTCACTCATGGGCAAACTGCAGTCCATGGGGACAGTGTCAGTGTTATCTTTAGATGAACTAGCATCTTTGGATGGACTATCATCCTCAGTTCCTTCCCCAAAACTGTCAAATGATCCAAGCATTTTTGTATCAGTGACCTCAGAGGATTTTGTTTCTGGGTCTGCTACATTTTCTTCCGACTCTCCAGCAGAGTGAGAACCAGGTTGTGTCAGGCTCTCACTTGATTCTGCCTTCATTTCCACTGAAGATTCCTCACTGTTCACTTCTTGTGACTCTGCACAAATTTCCTTTGTATCGTCCTGCTCAGTCTCCTCATCACAATGTGGAGACACTGGGTCCTCCAGCAGAGCATTCTGAAAATTAGGGGGTGATGGTGAATCCCTTTTCTCAGAATCCTCGTCTCCAGAGGAAGCAAAACGGCCTGGATATTGAGCCTCTTTCTTGCTCTGGGCACGCTCAGAACATGAACCAGGGCTGTTGAGAGCCAAGCCTGAGGGACAAGACAGGTCACCATCTCCATCATCTAGTTTCTCTTCTTGTTCATTATATTGTTCCTGAGTCTCATCACTGTCCTGTTGCACATTGTTACTCAGAGATTCTGCACCTCCTTGCTCATCAGCAGAGTTAAAACTGTCCTGGTCTGCACTGAGGTTCCCTTCAGCATCAGACTGCTGCTGCTCTGAGTTGTTTTTATCATGCTCCTGTTTAGTTTTGTCTTCTTCCTCCTCATGACCTTCAACTTTTTCCTCCTCCTCACTTGCTGCTGAGCTGCTGACAACTTTAGGAGAGCATTTTTTTCTTGTTGCTTTCCGTTTGGCGCTGGCCTTTTGATTTTTTGCCTGTTTTCCCTTCCTCTTGGCTGGCACCTGAGAAGTCTTGCTTGGCTTGGTGGATTGGTTGTTGGAAGAGTCACAGTCTGATGAACTGGACTGAGTTGGCAATGAGGGATCAGATATGCAAGTCTCTTCCTGGATTTTACTGTTGCACCCAGATTGCCTGGATGGTAGAGACATTGTCTCTTTGGTGGGGGCTTTGGAGGTTGAGGCTCGGCCACCTCGCTTTTCTCCTCCTTTGGGACATGTGATGGCACAGACAACACCCTGAAACACTAGGGAAGTGAAAACTTTGAGTAAAACCCCAACTGTAATTATATATGCAATCATTAAATTCTTCCAAAATTTTAACATATGCTTTGTAAGAAACTGATTTGTATTAGGTGCTGATCTGGGCCTGGCTTAAAGGAGTTTCAACAGGTATAACAACAAACACTGGTCAACATCTCCGCTGTGTAACACTCGGATCTTTATGAAATAATTCAATCTGGGAATTGTTAACTTTTTATCTATATAAAGATAATATAAACACAAAAGGATGTGTAGGTCCTCCATGATGACCCTGACCACAAGCCAAAAAGCACTGGCCTAAAAAAAAGTTGCTATTCATAGTGCAAACATTGCTGCTTTTTTTTACCCTAGCAAGCTGTAAATATACTATTAACCCAATTTCCCACTTTTTCCAGCTTCTCACCTATCAGAGTAATTGATTTAACACAATTAACTGAAAAGAATATCCACAACAATTGTCTAACTTAACTCACCAAAATCCCCAGAGTGAAATGGTGTGCTGGAGGTAAAGGAAGATGAACAGAGGCCAAATGGAAACAGGGTGTGGTTCCAACTAGTTGGACTAAAATGCTGCCTGTAAAACCAACAAAATGGTAAGGGTACAGTTATATTTTATGTCCTGAATTAGTAATTAGACTGAATTAGTAATTACAGATGGTCCCGATCCAATCCTGTAATCGGTATCGGGTCTAATATAGACATCATTCACTCATCAGTTATCGGGCGGACAGGGCCGATCCGCTTAATGATCCATATTCCAGTCAGTGGTTTGCGCTGGACCATGAACCCACTATAACCTAACATGAGACACATCACCAGCCCAGATTCCATTCTACATCTTACCATAAACCCGCAGCAACTTCAGTTTGTAACCGAGTGGGAAAATAGCATTAGCTGTTGGTATGACTAAAATGTCATTTGTTTGGAGACATTTTGGTCTGGAAATGCCAAAAGGCAAGCCAGCTACTTTTAATGTCTATAAAGCCAGCATGCTGAGATGTGGAAGTATAGTTGCGTTGTACAATATAAAAAATTTAGGGTGTTTTCACATTAGACACGATTGATTCATACTGCGCTCGAGCATGATTGCTCCCCCCTCCCCCTGCAGGTCTGCTTTCAAATTAGTAACACTGATCCGTGCCCCAGAACAATTTCATATATTCACACTCCGATATAGTAGGTGGCAGTATGTACGTAGTTGGTTTGCAATCTGCCAAGTAGCAGCAGCAACCACTCACGTCATCAATTGGGTGAAATTTGTTTCTGCTCCAACTGCATGTAAATGCTGATGAATACCTCCACAGAGTTTTTGTGTACTGGATTCGGGCACTGTGCCCAAGTCCAGTACACTTGTGTTCACACTGATCAAAATGGACCAAACTTTGGGGTCAAGTGTACTTATACCCAGTCCCCCAATGTGAACCGACATTTAATCAAGCTCCTGCAGAGGTTTCATGTAAAAGAGTACCAGGAGTTTATGCCAACAAGAAGACACCACCAAGCAGTAGACTCTTGTTGATGCTTTCCAGAAATGTGATAAACCTCCAGTAGACAACCCAAAGGTGAAAGGGATTACAAAGAAGTTGCTCAACTTCATTACGCTCAACGACCAACGACTGTCTGTAGTGGAAAATGATGGATTTAGCAGTCTGTTGGAGCACCTAAAGCCCAGGTATAATCTGCCATACAAAAAAATACATTTGAGAGACTGCTAAACTCAAGCTATACAACCGAGTGTCGTCACAGTTAGAGGCGCAGTTAGAAGATGTTAAAACCACGAGCTGCACAACTGACAGTTGGACCTCAGATGTGAGCAGCAATGAAGGTGATCCCCTCTATTCAGTTGCCACTTCACTGGACCATCAATACATAAACAGGTGAGGTTTTTTTTTATTAATAATAAATTATTAATGCCCTAAAGTTGGCTACATTTTAAATGCATTTTAAATCTTGCAAAACCAAAGCTACATGTTTATTTATAGCCCCAAAGTGGAGATTTGTAAATGTGGAAATTTGGAAAAGTGCGTGTCTCGTTGGGCTCTGACCATCTTAGTGGATGTACTTATCCATTATTATTCATATGTAATATTTTGTTTATTAGTATTGATTGTTTTATTGCAATGAAAGAGCTCTTGTATTGGAATGAGACTCAGTACAGTATGCTGCTTTGGACTGAACCAAAGCATTACAGCTCCTGTGACTTAAAATATGAACAGCTGCCGTAAGCCTCTCCAGTTATCATCTGCATTATCTCAGACTGAGCTATTTGACTACAAACCTTTAACATAAACCATGAATTTTGAACTCAGTTTGTAAGACAATGGAATTTAGGAGGCAGTGAGGGTCTAATGAAAGATACAATTAATTTGGACAAACAAAGACATTAGTAATCACTTGAGATTTCATTACCTTGAGGTGCCATTAACAGGGATAGGAACAGCAGGAGAAAGCCATGGACAGCTTTGTACCTGGGGTTTGCATTGTATGAACCCATTGTCATACAGTAGGTCCTCTGTCACCCAAACAAACTCTGTCCTATAGGACAATGAAAACAAAGAGGTATTAATAAAGTAATTCCTAAATGTTTATTGTGCACAAATGTTACAAGATCATGCTGATACAGTCGCTAGAGGGCTGAATCATGAAAAAATGAAAGTGCCCATGTCATTCTTTTCTACAATGTTACAACAGTGAACTATCATCTTAAACGTGACCTAAAGCTAAAAAAAAAAAAGGTGTACATATGATCTAGTACTTCTATGCAGAAGCAGCTCGGTTTATAGAAGTGTCACAAACTCTCGCTCGTGAGACTTTTTTTCTCCAACAATGTAAAATCTTACATCATAGTTCCAAGAGCCCATGGCATGCTTTCCCTTGTTTTCTGACTTATCAATGCTACATTGGTGAATTATCATCTTAGACATGACCTAAGGCTCAAAAAAATGAGGCGTTCATATATTCTAGTACTTCTATACAGAAGCAACTCAGTTTATACACGTCTCTTAAACTCTTGCTTGCAAGACTTCTTTTCTAATAAAATAAAGTGATCATTTAAAGGGTTTCCTTGAATGGTAATAATCTCCAGGCATTTGCACATTCATGTGAGCTTGCCTGACATCTACGGGTGCCATTGTAAAAGCGGAATTTTGAGACTGTGCGTGGTTTAGTGGATATATTTTAGCTCCTGCTGCCTGCACTGTGAACAAAGAATGTTGAGAAAAACACGGCCTGAGGTTACTGCATGTCCAGGAATGTTCATGTACAGGGACTCACTGTTTTACCTGACTGGATCTAACCCACAAGCAGCTGGCATGTGAAGCCCCCCGCAGCAGTGAATGCTCAGCTCATCAATGCTCAGTTCCCCCAGAGCACAGTAGCTGTTTGTGATTTGGCTGATTGAAGCCAGTGTGTCTGCCGCATGTGATGTGTTGCTGGGTAATGAGCAGTTTAATAATCCATGATGTTACTGTTGGTGCAACACTACCTGTTGGAATTAAATTTGACTACTTTGGGAATGTATGTAGTCAACTGTAATGTGGGAGATTTGTGGGCGAAGATGCAGCAACCCTGGAACTACTTAAAAAGGAACGTTGTTTGCAATACTAGGTGGGACTTGACGGTAAGTTGTGATTAAAATAAAGAAGAAAAAGTTGTATGCCTGTTAATGCATTGCTGTAGAGCGAATTATTGTAAGGCTAAATAAATATGGGGTTTCTCAATTACACACTTTGTTTAGTGTTACTAATCTCTTTTCATCGGTACACAGACCGTTGTTTACCTATCTATGGGGGAGAAATTCACTTTAATTAATTCTGTTGTGGTTTGTCATGCTGTCCACTTTCATATTCTGGCTCAAACGTGTCAAGTAGGATTTGAGGAATTTTCACTGTCAAAAATGTTAATGCTTTAATGTTATTTGTCAATGTGTTTACCTGGCTACCTGACCAGTCTTGTGTTCAAAAGGTTCCCCTCATCGAGATGTTTCCCCATTCAAAAGTCAATTTCATGTAGCACCTACCTCGGTGGTTGTGGCTAATGTTAGGATTCAGGTTAAGGGAAAAGCACCTTGATGGGGAAATAGAATTTGACGCAACACCGGTAGCACAAGTTGTGCGCATTCACAAATTATCTGCTTGTTTTCAGGAGGAGGCTGTTTTAGGAGGGTTTTATCGTTCTGAAAAAAAATACCGACTATTTGGAGTTATGATGGGCGCAAAGCTAATCTAGAGGTACACAAGGTTAAACATTCAACAGCTGGAAACACGCATGCCATGGGCGCTTTAAATAAATTCAAAGTAATGATGTGATCAATATCAAATTGCAAACAGACCATTTGAAGCAATGTGCCCTGTAGTCCAACAGGGAAGCTTTCTTAAAAAACGCTAATCCCCTGGTAAATGTCTTATAGCTAGACACTGCAGGTTTGCTGCAATTGTCTTATAACTAATAGGCAGCACTAAATTGATAATAATCACACCAAAGCATTTTAATCCAGATTTCTGACAGAAAACACTGTGTATTACTATATTTGTCATAATTCATTGTAATGGAAGCATGACATACATGTCCTGTGTAGTCAACAATACACAGGGAGGTGGTGACCAAGTACAGCACTCTGTTCCTCTCACCTGGTAAAAACACATCAAAACACTAATGCGATTTAACACTGAAGAGCATTATATAAAAGCAAATACTTAAACATGCACATGGATTAATGGGACACGCACCTTTTTTCTGTTTAGTGAAGAGGGGTCTTCATCATTACCTGAAAAGCAGTTTATAGACTATTACATCTTCTGGGTGACTATTACTGTACATCATCATGTTGACAGTATGCGAATAGGTCATGCATACTTCTGGGGGAAGGTTTTTAAACATACATTTCCTCACAAGTCCTTTTGTTTTGGCATCTGCTGTCCTCTCTGCATTTCGCCGTTTCATTCTTCTTGCAGGCTTACTTCTGAAAAGAAAACACCTAAACTGAGCTAAATTCAGTCAAACAATTCAAGAAAATAAAAAACACAATAACTTTAAACTACTGCATCACTTTTCCTTTACTTAAGAATATTAGATTTCATAAAGTATCTTGTATTGTATGGTCTCTTCAAAATCCTTCTAAAGTACAAACCTTATTATCCTTATGCACTTACTTGAGATAGAGTTTTTGTTCAGGATTTCTACAGCAGTAACTCTCAGCTTCATGTTGAGTCACTCGCTTCTTCACAGGAACCTTAAAATGACAAAAGTACATGTAATTTTACCACATAATAATGTAAACATTTTTGACTGGCTTTATGCAACATAGTTGTCTAAAGAGGCATATGAGGAAAAACCATGCAGACCAGTATACAAGGGCAGGTAAAATCAACTTTATAGAACAGCTTATTTCTGCTTAACTTTTAAAAGAAAGCTTCTTTGAGGTTACTGGGTCAGATTACAGAGATGATCAGTAGCAAAAAGCATTCTCTGAAAGTCAAACACAGCCATGACAACCTTAACTATGTTACAGAGGTACAAACGGACCTGCACACAGCTGAGCTCCCCGTCCCATCTGTAAACACTGGTGAAAGGTCTTCTGTCCACTGGGCATGAAGGAGCCACCTGCAATTTCAGAGTAAACAAACCAAATATAATTAACATACTCATAAGATACATATGGCCCTTTGAGGTAAATTTGTGATTTGGGCTATGTAAACATCAAAATAACTGGACAGTTCATGGGTTTGTAGCCATATAAACTGATAGAGATGACTACAGATCACAGGTCTCCAACATGTTTTTTTTTTCTGCAAACTACTTTGACTAAATGAAAGTGGCTGTGAGCTACTCATGTCTTATAATACCAGTTACATTTATTCACATATCAAAACACAGAGCAGTCACTAAACCAAACCAGCTGACATTTTGTCTAACCAGTGCATTGTTGCCAACTTAGCAATGTTCTTGTTAGGTTTGGCTACTTTTTAAACTTTTGAGACAAATCTCAGTATTACTCATTGAACACGCTCTCATATGGCTGTTTCTCCTGAACTGGCTGTGTCCATTCCATTGTTTGTACAGGTAAACTACTACTTTGCTTTTTGTTAAACCTAAAGTATTAAAGTTACATTTAAGTTTTTCCACATAAAACACACAGATTATTAGCATGTGCTCATTCCAATTCTGGATCCTCATATCACCTCAGTCTGTACAAGTGTTTCCATGGAAGGCTTCTGACATTACAGATAGAGTTAGATGCACAGAGATGTGATAATAGCAAACTGCACAGACCGAATAATACCTAATGAAAAAGCTGGTTAGAATACAACCTCCTTTTTTATGTTTTAGATGCATGTAAATACAGTATTTACGTTATGAAAAATGCAACGTAGTCAGTAACAGAATCTTCCAACTTTTTGAACAGGCTTCAGCTACTTTCCATAGAAAAAAGTTGATAACACTGAACCAGTGTATAGGGATTGACCTCCTGCCAGTCAGCTATGTATGTCAGTAGTATAATAAGTGAAATATCTTGTCAAAGCATACAAAGAAAAAAAGGCTCCTTCAAATAACCAAGAGCACTGCAGATATTCGAGCACAGAAAATGGCAAAAGACAATTCAGTCCATCTACTGATTTAAGCACCGTTTGTGGATGTGAGCGTGGTTCAATTCAGTTGAGTTTAGTTAACAAATTGTATGTCAGCTTTGCCCACAACCCCACCTTAGTTCAAGTCATTCCAGTTGTGTTTTTTCCTTGACATAAATCAGATATTCTATTGAAGCTGGGACATTGTATTCTGTTCTTAATTTACATTTTACACAATCACTTGCAAATCCTTTTTGATCCATATTTAATTGAATACACCACAAAGACAAGATATTTAATGTTCAAACTGATAAACTTTGTTTTTTGCAAATATTCACTCATTTTGAATTTGATGCCTGCAACGTGTTCCAAAAGAGCTGGGACAGGGGCAACAAAAGACTGGGAAACGTGAGGAATGTGCAAAAAACACCTGTTTGGAACATTCTACAGGTGAACGCCATGATTGGGTGTAAAAGTGCAAAGTGTGCTCAGTCATTCACAAGCAAGGAACGTTGTGAACAACTACGTGAGCAAATAGTCCAACAGTGTGAGAACATTTCGTAATGTACAAATGCAAGGAATTTAGGTATTTCATTATCCATAAGTCCATAATATCATCAAAAGATTCAGAGAATCTTCCTGCACGTAAGCGGGAAGACCGTAAACCAACACTGAATGCCTGTGACCTTCGATCCCTCAGACGGCACTGCATTAAAAACAGACATCATTCTGTAAAGAATATTACCACATGGGCTCAGGAACACTTCGGAAAGCCATTGTCAGTTAACACAGTTCATCGCAACATCTACAAGTTAAAACTCTACCATGCAAAGCAAAATCCATACATCAACAACACCCAGAAATGCCACCGGCTTCTCTGGGCCTGAGCTCATCTGAGATGGACTGATGCAAAGTGGCAAAGTGTGCTGTGGTCTGACGAGTCCACATTTCAAAATGTTTTTGGAAATCATGGATGTCATGTCCTCCAGGCTAAAGAAGAAAAGAACCATCCAGATTGTTATCAGTGCAAAGTTCAAAAACCAGCCTCTGTGATGATATGGGGTGTGTTAGTGCCCATGGCATGGGTAACTTGCACATCTGTGAAGGCACCATTAATGCTGAAAAGTACATACAGGTTTTGGAGCAAAATATGCTGTCATCCAAGCGACGTCTTTTTCAGAGACGTCCCTGCTTATTTCAGCAAGACAACGCCAAGCCACATTCTGCACGTGTTACAACAGGGTGGCTTTGTAATAAAAGAGTGTGGGTACTACACTGGCCTGCCTGCAGTCCAAACCCATCTCCCATTGAAAATGTGTGGCACATTATGAAGCACAAAATACAACCCAGACCCTGGGACTGTTGAGCAACTGAAGTCATACATCAAACAAGAATGAGAAAGAATTCCACCTACAAAGCTTCAACAATTAGTGTCCTCAGTTCCCAAATGCTTATTAAGTGTTGTTAAAAGGAAAGGTGATGTAACACAGTGGTAAAAATTCCCCTGTCCCAGCTCTTTTGGAACATGTTGCAGGCATCAAATTCAAAATGAGTGAATATTTGCAAAAAAACAAAGTTTATCAGTTTGAACATTAAATATCTCGAGTTTGTGGTGTATTCAAATATGGGTCAAAAAGCATTTGCAAATCACTGTATTCTGTTTTTATTTACGTTTTACACAATGTCCCAACTTCATTGGAATTGGAGTTTGTACAATCCACCCACAGATAATTTCACCACCATGGTCAACTCCTGACAATGTGTTCTATTTCACCAAATCCTGCACAACACAAACTTACCAGCACCATCACAAAGTACTGTAAACTAGCATTCTCCTCCTCCACTGACCTGCCCCAACAGGCTGGATTCACTCTGTACAGGAGATTCGGGGGCTGTGATCGGTTAACTTTTGACATGTGACATAATTCAGGTGATGGTCGCTACATCTTAAACTCACGTCGGTCATCACAGAGTGGTAAACTCATTTTTTTTAGTTTGCATTTATATGATTCATGCTTTCAGGTGTTGTAGAAACAACGAGAAGTTGGTTATTATAGTCTGAGCTCAGTACAATCTAAACTACTTAGAGACCAACTGCTACAATTTGTGTCAAAAAAATATCACTGTCATGAGTCAATCAAATCTGAAATCAGATACATTACGCATTTAAATTCACTTTTCGACTTGCACTTTCATTATCTCAGATGTCCATTGCAAAAACACATTCATAAACCCACTTAGAAATCATATAAAGCAAACACTCCTCACAGCAGCATAAGCTGCCTGATAATCATCTCATTTCTTCAGTAACAAAATACTTCATTGATAGTTGGCAGTACACTGAATGGTACACACCAAAGAAAATCTGCTAACAGCAAATTCGGCATATTTTTTTTTCCACATTGTAAACAAACATAGGCTAAAAACTGGGCTCATGTTGCAGGCCAGAGTACAATTCGGTGAATCTACGAAAACATACTGCAACTCTTTTGACTGACAGATGTTTGGGAATAATCATAAGGTGTCAAAGGAGAGCGGGAAATCTGTATTTGACTGGATCCATGCATCCATGGTTTGTACACACTATTCTCTGAACCCTCAGGTGAGCGAATCAAAAACAGGGAAGAGCTACTGGTAGCTTGTGAGCGACATTCTGTGTGACTGTTAGAGGCAGAAGAATAAAGATCAAAAAGGTAACTTTTTTGCTTATGCTGACAACCTGTAAATGTAACAGCTACTGTAGATGGAACTGTAAATTTAATGCAGCAGCACTGAGCATCACCTCTGCCCAAGTGAGGAGGCATCTTAGGCAAAAGACGTGGCAGCAGCTGTCAGGCACGGCGAGCTCGCCTCCAGCCAAGATGCCCAGACAGACAGGACACCTCTCTGCCTCCTCAGCATCCATCCCATCCGGTGGGCCCTGGTCACCTAAACATAGGACACACAAAATTGATATTAAAATGACAGATATTTTTGTTAACATTAAAAAAGATGCACCGATTTTCATTGTGGAAATGCATGGATATACTGTATTTACACACATAAAAAAAAACACATCCTGATCAGGAATATGCCTCATTGATCATACTGTAGTCTACATCTACCACAAGTGTTACACTCATGCTAGATATCATGAATCCTAATATCAACAATGTGCTGCACAAAGTCTCACCACTTCCAGCTCCAGTCATGTACGGCCCAGGGATGTCCTGTTTCACAGTACAGCATAGGGAAGAAGAGGGGAAAAAAATTAGAAGGGTGCTGCAGCTACAAAGGAGAGGAGTACAGCTAACTGACACGTTTACATTTCCAGGAGGGCTCAGTAATGTTCCCACAGAGTTTCACAACAGAGGTTCAATTTACAGAGGATGAGGTTATGTTTGGAATGAGGTGTCTCTGTTAGTGATTTACATTCATCTCATCCTCTGCTCAGATGGTCTCTCCCCTCCTAATGGCTCCCACAAATGAGTATTTAAAAAAGTGTCACTACATAAACATCCTTCCACGAGTCAGAGACAAAATAAAAGTACAAATGAAAAAACAAGAGTACAAAGCTCAGTCTTCCAAGACATAACAAAACAATAATCAAAATGGGCAAATCAAATACAGAAGAATTGTTAGCCAATGCTTAAGATAAAGGCCCAGCATCAAATATAGATGTGTGTCAAAGTAAAGTGACAACTTGATTATTGCCAATTTCAAAAGAGAAATTACACAAAAAATGACAAGTTATGTAGACATGACCAAAAATGTAAAGCTACTCATGTTTATTTAGTAAATGGACAACTGCATTTTGCTCATCGTTATATACTCATTAACCCACAATAAAAAAGTGACATATTTGAATTTTGTGAATTTATTAAAACCAAAAACTGAAATATCTCATTTACAAACTTATTCAGACCCTCACTTAACTCACTACTTTGGAGCAACCCCTTTGGCAGCAGTTACAGCTTCTAGTCTTCTTGGGTACATGTCTAGAAGCTTTGCACACTAGAAATTGGGCAGTTTATCCCATTCTTCCTGGCAGATCCTCTCAATGTCCATCAGATTGGATGGTAAGTGTCTGTGAACTGCCAGCTTTCAGTGTGATTGGTCTTTAGACCGCACGATCACTCTGAAATTTCTGATTCTGTGCTGAGGTTCAACAGTCCACATCACGCATACAGTGGCACAAACTAAAAGGGTAGTGTGTGCAGCATGCATCAACCCTAATGCACCTCGAGCAAGGCTCATGCCTGTATATGCAGTGTATCCAATCTGTGCTAAAACACAGTAAAGACATGCTACAAAGAACTGTGTGCTCAGTAGTAACAGACATTCTTCTGTTTCTATTACCTGTTGCACCTGTTCCTATTTGGAGAAGTACAAATACCGAGGTTTGTAACAAAATAAAAAAAGAGAAGAAATGCCAAACTTTAAAGCAATGTTTTATTTGTTTTACAATTTATCTTTTTCATTTTCAAAAATGTCTGTGTATGCTGTTGATTACAGTTCTCAGAAAGAAAGAAATTCAGAATCAGCCAAAATTGGAATCTGCAGGTCAAAAAAAACTGAATTGGCCAAGAAAATTGCAATCAATGCATCTTTAGTCAGTGTTGTGCTGAAAGATGAACTGTCACCACAGGCTCTGGTTACATAATCCTCTAAGAGATCAGCTTTTGTCTAATCAGGCCAGAAAATCTTTTCTCTCCTGCTCTCTGTGTCCTTTAAACTCTGTTTAGTAAACTCATGCAGGCCGTCGTCTGCCTTTTGCTGAAGCTGGCTTCTGTCTAGCCACATAAAGGCCTGACTGATGGAGAGCTGCTGAGGTGTCGTCCTTTTAAGATAGAGAATCTGCTGCAGAGGACTTCTGAAACTGTGTGAAGATCTGAACAGTGGTCAGTTCTTGGTCACCTTGGTCACAAATTCAAAACTTAAGAGCAGTGCAATGCAAGTGCAACTAGTGCAAGTAGGATGAACTGTGGGAGATGTGCGCTATCACAGTTCAACTTTTTAGTATTTCAATTTGCATAGCACCAAATCACAACAAAATTCACCTCGGGACACTTTACAAAGTAGATCGAGAACTTACTATTATTATAGAGAAAACCTAAAAAATCCCCCGAGCAAGCACTTGGTGACTTTAGGGAGAAAAATCTCCCTTTAACAGAATAAACCTCCCAGAGACCCCGGCTCTTAGTGGGCAGCCATCTGCCTCGACCAGTTGAGAGTGAGTGGATATATAAATAGCAACTCCGTGTCCACTTGATTCACATCCAATGCAAAATATTATCTGTGTGTAAACTACAAACAGTAATTTTAAACATTAACATGAATTTCTCCTCCATAGATAAGTAAACAAGAGTATATGTACCGATGAAAAGAGATCTGTAACACTCTAAACAAAGCAGGTAACTGAGAAAGCCCATATTTTAAGTGCCATAATACAGTCATAGTAACTTCTCCAGCTTTACAACAATTCTCCCCAACGTTACAGAAACTCATTTACAGACATGTAACATGTATTTTTAAAACTTATCATTAAGTTCCACTGAGTACTGTAAACATCACTCCCTTTCAAGAAGCTCCAAGGTTGGTAAGTCCAACACTGCGTCTTCCCCCACATGACCACATACAGCCCCAAAATAGTGAAATAAATCCCAACAGGTAGTGTAACACCGACAATAACATCATGGATCGTTAATCCGCTGGTTAACCAGCAACACATCACATGCAGCAGACACACTGGCCTCAAGCAGTCAAAACAAACAGGTACTGTGTCTCAGGGTAATGCAGCACTGATGAGCTGATCAGTCACCGCTGCCAGGGTCTCCACAGGCCGACTGCTTGTAGGTTAGACCTGGTCAGGTAAAACAGCCAGCCCCTGTACAGGAACATTCCCGGGCATGCAGTAACCTCAGGCCCTGTATTCTTCTCCATATCGTCTGGTCACAATGCAGCAGGAGGGAAAATACTATATATATCCGCAAATCCGGGCGCAGTTGAAACATTAAGCATTTTACAGTGGCACCAGTGGATGTCCTTTTTTTTTTTTTAACTTAAGCTTTACTGAAAATACACATAACAAACAAGGCCATGTAACATTTTGCCAATATGGTGGAGACACTGGTGGATGTAAGGCAAGCTCACATGAACGCAGAACAGCCTGGATTTTATGCCCATTCAAGGAGAGAAACTATCAGGTAATATTTGATTTTGCTAGAAAAAAGTCTCGCGAGCGAGAGTTTGCAAGACTTGTATAAACCCAGTTGCTTCTGCATAAAAATACTAGAACATACATAAACCAAATTTTTTGAGCTTTAGGTCAAGTCCAAGATGAGAATTCACCGTTGCAACACCGTAGATAAATCAAAAAACAAGGAGAAGCATGCCATGTGCCCTTTAAACACTGAACTAATATCGGCTTTTCAATGTGTACACTGTACAGCAACGCAACAGTTTCATGCTTCTCGTGACTGAATACAAGTTTTTTCAGAAGGCTTGCTGATGTCTGCAGGAGTTTTCTTGGAATGATAAACTGACAATTATTAGGGTACTGAATGCTAACAAAATACTGACTGTCTGCAGCCTTGTTCCAATATATATTAATAGACTTAAAATAGTAACATATATTCAGTATGTCTCATGGTGTGTATACCTAACTAACACAAACAGCCCAACAAGCAAATTCACACATATGCGGCAAGGTGAAAATTTTCTTCGCCGTCAGTCTGAATACGTCTTTACAGCTTCAAGATCAAAATTATTAATGAAACCTGTGCTTGTTTGGGCAGGGTTCTATGAGGTCTAAGGTTATTTCAAATAGTGATTTTTTTTAAGATTCAAATAGTCATTAAATTTAAAAAAAAACTCATTTCACGTGACTATGGTTTTGTCTTTAAAAACAAACAGTTGCTGTTTTACTTTACTAGCACCTTGAAATAAAACGATAACAAGGTCAGTATATCATTTTACTACAATGCCAAATACAAACAGCAGAAAAAAGCAGAGACTACAGCCATCAAAGAAAGACAGTCATGGAATGACTGGATAAACTGTATGATGAGGATGCCTGTGAGCTGCACAGTCATTTGACAAGTGTTGAAAAGGTGTCTGAACAAGGATCATGAACACCACTTACAGCTAGGGGTGTGAAGAGATCTTGTGCCACGAGATCTCATGATAATAAAATTCGATCCTGTGTATACATTTTAAACTTATAAAACAGCCATTTTGCACAAGTCTTTCTAAACTATGTCAATTAATGCAAATTGCCACAGGTGGATTCCAATCAAGTTCCAGGCCTCTCAAGTATTAAAGTAATTAAAGTAAACAACATGCAGCTGATCACAACCATGTCAGAAGAGTAAAAAGTATTATATATGGTTAACAACTGAAGTGAAAGTGGAGTATTGTTTCACTGAGAGTTAACTCATTTCATTTGGCAAGCCTGACAGACAGCTACTAAGGAGATCTGTAATCAGATAAAGTCTGATTACTCTTTCAGTTTGTTTTTTAGGCTTTAACATCTTAATGTCGACCTCGCTGTACCTACAAAATCACGGTGAACAAACCTGACTCCAGTAGGCCAACACAGTTGTATAGCTGGCTGACCGTAAACAGGAAGCCTGTGCTTGAGATTTAAAACCGATAGCTGATCCATAACCAGTCTTGGATTGACCACAATTCTTATTACGATGTCAAAACGTGTCCAAGTTAACTTAACCAACAGACTGACCAGACCCTCGGTGATGTGCTATGGTCTCATTTTTAAATACTTAAACCAGGTCAATGCAGTATATTAGCTACACGCTAGGCTTGTGCTCCAACTATCATTCAACTCTTTTAGGTGTAACTTCACGTAACTTGTAAACATGAAAGACTCCATGAAGTGCTGGACAAATGTATTAAATCCTTAGCTTACCTACGCTACGTGGTGTAATTAAAGACTAGTTGACTGGCGGGTACGTACTTGCAGCTATTTCATGCCAGCACGGCCTGGCTACTGGAGACAAAACCAACTTCTTAAACCAGTGATAACACGACACGGTGACAACACGATTGTTGTTGGCCAAAAAGCTAATGCTAGCTAGCGCAAAACAAACCCTGATACATTAAGTGCTAGCTGGCTGTTGTTAGCACGGAAGCAAACATGACTAAGCAGTGTCTAATTTTAGCTAAAACGTTCACACTGGAGGTCATATGTTAGCCAGCTAGCACCAAGTAAGTTTAGATTAAAGCTAACTAGCTAGCTGCTTTGAACAACAGTACCTACGTACGTCGCTTTTAGCTTGCTAGCAGTTAGTCCTAGTTACCTAGCGGCAAGTATTGTTACTCACCTTTAAAAAGAACAGCAGCTGATTTGCAACTAGTGAATTATTTTCTACGACCACCCTCCTGCTACGAAATGCCGATGAATCGTGGAATTGTTTTTGGCTGAAAACGGAGCGTAGCTTACAGAAAGTCTCAGCCACATGTCTCGCGGTCTGGATGAAAGTTGTCCAGCTAGCGCCGTCTTCCGGAACCGACGAGCATTACAGAGCACAGTTAATTTATTCGATTTAAGAATTTTACATCACAGAGACGGCAACAGGTAGTGCAGTAGCCAAAATTGTATTAAACTTCCACCTTTTAAGTCACCTTCTACATCAAGTCTGCAAGATATGCTTGTAACTCTAGGTCTGTCCAGCCACATGAAAACAGTATAACAATACATATATATTGGTACACAGAAGTGAGCAAATCAGTTTAACTTATTTCTTTCATTTTACCTGAGGGGAAAACATCTTGGGCTGAGGCTGTCAGTTGTGTCCACAAAAACAGCATTAGTCAGCACAGTGTCTGTGCAGTGCTAACAGAATAAAGCTGCAACATAATAATTGCATAGAGGAGGTAGAAGGATTCGTAGACAGAGAGAGAAGAGGAAAGGCAGGAGTATAGGTCTGAGAATAGGGACTCTTAACGTTGGCACAATGACAGAGAAAGGTAGAGAGCTGGCGGACAT